CTCCCTCAGCACTGGCCCTCCGACAGTGCGGCGCTCCCTCAGCACTGGCCCTCCGACAGTGCGGCGCTCCCTCAGCACTGACCCTCCGACAGTGCTGCACTCCCTCAGCACTGACCCTCCGACAGTGCTGCACTCCGTCAGCACTGATGTTGTAATGTTTCTATTTTACTGATATTTACTTTTGTTTGTTGCCTGTCTCCACCTCCTGCTGAAGGGGTTTGTGTGTTGTTCCCTCAGCTGTTGCTCTGGAAGTTTGAATGCATTAGTCAGAATTAAACAGAGAGACAAAAGAAATCAATTTAGGGAAATTATCTTAATGCTGTTTGCAGCTGCCTTAAACAGTCACAGCAATGATCAAGCCCCGTCCTGACTAGCTGAAAGGGTTAAAGCTGACAACTGCTGTTGAACCTGGGGTCAGATCCTAGTGATTACAGCCAGCACTGATTGAGTGAGAGTGAGACTGTGAAAGAAAGGGGCAGAGTGAGGAGGGAGACAGTGTCTGGATCACAGCTGGCTGCTCCCAGTCAATGCCATCTCCACGATAACCACTCAGAGTCTGAAGAAGTTCCTGCTGCCATTTACCAAGAAGTTCGCAGATCCTTGTTCTGTCACTGCATTTGGAACTTGAGATCTTTGCACTCTTACTCAACTGGTTGAAGAGTCAGCTGCAGCATTCCTCATACACCCATTTACAAACTGGGCTGAACTCCGGCTGGTAACCGTTCACAACGAGGTGTCAGTGTGGGCTGAACTGGTACAGCACAGTGATGCCAGGATCCTGGAAGCCTACGCCAAGCCGGAGAGAGTTCCTCATTGCCTGCCTGGAGATCTCTGTGGCACTTGTCTGAAGTTCCTAGGCTGATGGAGATTCTGGATCCTGTGTGTGAGCAATTGGAAAGGAGCTGTGCACTGCAGGAAGCTGACAGCAAGAGACACTCAAACACAGGAGCCAGACTGTGGGGTCGAGTCCGCAACAAATTGCTGGGAGCAAAGGTCATCTCATTCAACTATCTCTTTATCAAATTATTTACAGTCTTATGGGCTACACGAGTAATCTTAAACAAGAAAATCAAATTCCGATCTGTTAAATTCCACTGCCTTCAAACTCTCAGAATATGTTACCTGTCCCTGAGTGTGAGATTTACTCCTTGCTTCTTCTCTCTGTCTCTCTTTAATCATTCACCCTGAATTATCAACTTGACAGAACCATTTATTTAACCCTTTACCTGCTGACTGACATATAGTATTTATTCTACAACTTGTTCTGTTTTAAAATTTTTTGTTTGGAGGTAATGAAAGATTAGAATTAGGAGGTGATTTATTGAGCTAGGCCTGATAAAGGAGGAAATTGCTTCCAAGTTTAATGTTCAATGTTTCTGTGTGAATCCTGTGATAGATTGGGCAGTCAGTAATGGTCAATGCTGAAACTAATCACCTACTGCTTCAATGGACAGTGGCAAAGGGATAGGCTGCATGGTCACAGAACTTTAAAATGAACGGTACAGAAATTAACCTGAAAGGCTAATGGATTTATATTCAGGTGAAGAGAATTCAAAGTGAGGTTGAAATCATGTTTCAGCTACAGGGGTCCTTGATTTATGAATGCTGATACTGAAGGACATGATCCTATACAGGGGGTAATTTTAAAGATCTGATATACAAACATTTTCTGTACTTACAAACTGCTCCTTAATATTGTTGTGCATTGTTTTCCAACTCGAATACAAATCAACTTATGAACAGATTCAAGTGGAATCCATTTTCCACCCGGAGACTGTCTGTAGACAAAGCCCTGGTTGAACCGAGAACCGTACTGAGCACACTGAGGAAGGATATATAGACCGTCAATGAAGGGCAGTATCATGGAGAGATGATACAAACTAGAGTTGCGTTCTCTGGAATTTAGAAGATTAAGGAATCATTTGATTAAAGTTTTTAAGAAATTATGGGAACAAATAGGATCGATAGAGAAACTATTTCCACTGACTTGGGCGTCTAGAACTGAAGGTCAAATCCTAAAACAGAGCCAGGCTTTCACAGTGGGTGAAAGATGATGGAAACTCTCTTCAACAAAGGCCAACAGATAGACAATCAATTGTTCATTTTAAATCTGAGATTGATAGTTTTTTGTTTATCAAAGGTTTAATGTAATTGGCAAAAGAAATGAAGTAAATCTTTCCCCATGCAACAGGGGAGTAGGGTCAGGAATGCACTGACTGAGAGTGTGCTTGAGGCAGCTACAATCAAGGCATTTGAAAGGAAATTTGACTGTTATTTAAAAAGGAACAGTGTGCAGGGTTCCACAGAGAAAGTGTTAGAAAAACAGTGTATGGATTGGCCATTTGCAGGCACAACGGGCACATGTCATCCTTATGCACTGTCATAATTCTGTGAAGCTGATGTATGAAGGAATGTGTGGGATAGGCAGCTCAATGGAGTTAGCTGTGACCAGCCATGATTCCACTGTAGGGTGGAATGGGCTTGAAGGGCTGAATAGCCTCTTCTTGATCAGCAAGCAAACTTCAGTCTGTAACAGCCTGGTAACAG